GGGAAAACAAATATAATAGTTATCATAATCTAATACTTCATATGGCATTCAATATATTGTCAGTTGTGTTCAGCGTTCACGTCCACTAAACTCCTGGTCCGCATTGAACGCGCCTTCAAATCAAAAACAAAACAAATTGACATTAAAAATGAGACACAAAAACGGGTGCCAATGGATGGGTTACCTCTCCGAGCACTTGTAAAGGCGTTTTTCCGGTCGCTTTGGCCACTCTGTGTTCAATCAAATAAAATATGTATTCGTCGTAAAGCAGACGAATTAAATGAAATGAACCGAAAGAAGAGGCGGACCGGAGGGTCAGGTCTCTCATCACAAGAGAACTGCGGCGACAAAAAACAATACAATTATTAGTTTAAACATTCAAAAACTCAACCAATGATTGATTGAAATACCTATAGAAACCCCATTTGAAGAAGAACTGTGTGGCCGACCGGACGTCATCATCGGTTAGGCAGAGGTCTAGGATCTGTTCACACCAGACGCCCCACTTGTCAAACGGATTCGTTTCTTGTAATAATAGCTATCAAATGTCAACAAAATAACATTTAAAATAAATCATAACAACTAAAGCAAACCAGAAATACAAAACTAAGACATACTTTAAAACTCTGTTCAATCTGTTCGACCACTTCGTCGTCGCACTGACAGACCCAACTCGCCTGTTCCTGTGATGGCCAACACATCAATGTCAACATTAATTATCATAAATATGTCAACAATTTGCTAATCAGTCAATCAATTACCTGAACGTTCTTAAAGTCGACTCGATTTAAATCGTTAATCATTTGCTGGATTTGTTGCTGATTTTGTAGGACAGCTCTGGCGGCCGATGACAAGTGGTTAAGCGATGTGTATCTAAAGAGAAGAGTGAGAGAGAAGAATATATACACATATAAGAGATGACAAAACCATCTCAAAAGAAAATGATAACTACTTTTAATGTTAAAACCAATCGTCTCTATACAGACAGAGAGGCAAACGCGCTAAACATTATGAGCCAAAGATCTAAATATTAATTTTAAACTATATATAAATATATAGAAAAAACTGATAATAGCTAAGAGATTTCTCTCACCATTTCTCTACTAAAAACAAACTTTTGCAACAAATAAATAGCAAGAAAACACAAAACTAAATGATAATATGTGTGAATGTTTTTATTGTATTGGTTTGCCTATCGATGATATCCCACCACCACTTCTAAGCGCCCGTTTGTATCGCTTTATTTTGCCACTCGTTTTGTGTTATGGTTTTTGCTTTAGTTTTGATGACTTCGCGAACACAGCGTTTAGAACATTATAAATATACGCTTAAAACACAGAGCAATACCAATACCATAGCTATATCTCTATATCTCTATGAATACCCCATTAATAACTATCGGATAATTAATTATAAATATATTGTATGTGTATATCATATATACAGTAAACGAAACAAATCACATATACATTCACGCAAAACACACTTGTATTATACAACTATAATAGACAACTATTACATTACATTTAATTTGATTATATAATTATGAAATTAATTATGGATTATTATGATAATGATGATCAGGATCATTTGTAAAAGTTGCTAACCATTCGCTTCATTATGTAAAGAGTACACTATTATCTCTATCTCTCATACGCTTCACACCATTTGTCTCCCTTTTATATAATTAAAGACAAACTCAAAATCAATTGACAAACAAAAGTTAAAAATACAATTTTTTCTGAAGAAATCTATTATTAATTATTACTATTACTACTAATTATTGGATAATATAAAACAACAACTCTGTTATGATATTTAATTAGTGAAACAAATTCATTATAATTAAAACAATTTCTTATCTATTATTCAATGAATATTATTATGTAATTGTCTTCTTATTATTGTCTTGTGATAGAAGTAAAGGGAGGGATAAATAGCATTGAAATGAATAAAATACTACATTCACTATACAATTGTCACATAAAGTTACATGATTTTACAACCAAACACATACATACATACATTTGAACATGATGCTTTTATTCATTCGCTGAAAAACATGAGCGAGCAACTTTTGTTTTCCAAAATTCATTGTACAAAACAATTACAAACTTTTTAAAAGTGCTTTTTTATATACAAATACCTCGAAAATTGTCAAACAAACAAAATTACATACACTTTTACCCCGATTCTTATACATACACCCCTTATCAGTACCAATAAGTTGTATTATAATTATTATTATTTACTTATTTAGCATTCATTTTATTTACATTACATTATTTTTATTAGCGTTTGCTTTATATAAATAAATATATATTATATTTAATTCACTGCCAAAAAAATATTGAAACTAAAGTAAGACGAAAGTTGTCATTGTTTTTATCAAATCTGTTGTCTAATTGTTTTATATTATAATTATTATTATTATTGATATTATTTTCATTTCTCAATTCTATTCTCAATTATTTTTGAAAATTTTGAACAAAACTTTAATTTCAAAAATACATAAACACATGATAAACACCAAACACGACAAACCAAACTCTAGGGCCGTTAAAAACAATTAAAATTTAGGTTACAATCAAAACAAACTGATAACAAAAATCATCACTCGATTAGTGTATTGGAAAAACACTCTATTGGTGTACACTATATGCAAAACTTTAACGACAATGCATTCAAAACTTACAATTTTCTCTGTATTGTAAAAGTATGTGTTATTTAAATGTAGGGAAGGCCTGACAGCTCCCGTTCACTCACTTGCTATATATATAAAAATGACTCCGGTGCAAAATCAAATACATTATACATTTCAATTCAATTACTTCATTATAAACATACATACATAACATGTATATACCGAAGCTTTCAGTGCCTTTTCTTCATCACTGAATTGTATAATTTGTCAGAAAAGTAAAACAAAATGATTAAAACAATACATAAAAACACTTAAAAATATACACCGAAAACAAAACGAAACGAAAACCTCTCTCTCTCTCTCTCTCTTATAGTATTGTAAAAAATTTTAAAACTAAATACAGAAAAACAATTGGATTTTTAAAAATACTATAATTATTAAAATTATTTGTTGTTATATATAATTATATTATATTATAAAAATTTAAAATGATAAAAAACAAAATACAAACTAAAGTAAAAAACAAACAGCAAGTACTCAGAGAATCGGTACTCAACTCGCGATTATATTCATTAAATTAATTGATATAAAAAACAAACTTTTTCTCTCGAAAAGTAAACTTAATTTCAAACAAAATACAAAATACAATCTCTTTTTTGATTTTCATTGTCATTGTAGTATAGAATTCAAGTATATTTATAATGAAATTAAAATATAAAATAAAATAATAAATATTTCATTCAATGAAACAAAAAATCATTTGTGTATCAATTCTTTCGCCACTTTATTCAACCCTACCTTTCGGTCAATATTCTGGTCGTCGAGAGTTTGGATACATTTTTATTGAAAAATCCATTTTCTTTTGGCATTTTTAACGAAACGATTAAATCGTTATTTTTATTGAAGTTTATATTTAGAAACACTTTTTTGCACACATTTTTCTATACCATTATATTATTTGTCAATCGATTGGCGTTATTCTCGTCGGACTCGCAATTATATTTCAACGCTTCATATACTGTACGACCAGTTGTAGTGATGAACCAGACATTGGGTTTGTTTTGCGTGAAAAATCATTTCATATTTTACTGAATAATAAATATATTCACACAAATGTTTTGTTTATAATTTCTTTTTATACTTATTTTAATCAAAATTAAAATATATTTATATAATAAATATCTCTCATTAAGAATTAACACAATTTGTATTTTTTAGTTTTAAAAAAGTGGTTATAATTATAGATTAAAAACGAAAACAATTCATGAAATGAATACTAAAAAATGACATTAAAATTTCGTTCTGATATTACAATTATATTATTATAATTATTAGCATTTTATATATAGACTTGTAATTGATTTTATTTTATAAAATTAAAGCTCGAGTCGTTTTTGCTGCAAAAAAAAATTCATTTTTATATTAATGTGTATATAAAGTGATCAAAAATACTGAAAATTATTAAAAAACAAAAGCATTTTTTGCTTCACACAAGCGATCGATTTACACAATAAATAACAGTATATTTATTGCCATAAAGTATTTAAATGTGAATTTTGTTTGTTTTCGTTTTCAGTCAAAACTGGGTTTTCAAAGATTAATATATTTATATCAATATATATAATAGCGTTAATATATATTTCACAATAAATTGTCTGCTTTTGTCAAAATTAGTGTCAAAAATGGGGAGTTTTGTTGGTTTCGTCCAAATATAGAGCACTTTTATATGAATACATTTGCAGTGAAAATACATTTTTTTTGTTGGTTTACATATAAACTATTATCATAGATGTGAACAACAAATGATATGTTTTCTGTAAATATACATATAATCAATATATCGTTTAAACTGTCAGACAATTGCAATAATATATTCACATTCAAAATAAAACCGAAAACTTATTTCTTCGGTACACTTATTGTGCCATAAAATCTCAGTTCACTTTCGCTAACAACAGAAAAACCGATCGACGAAATGATGGAAATAATAAATATATATAAAATTTGACGACAAAAAAACAACATCTAATGCAATGGCTGTTTGTGTAGTGAAATGTGTACTGAATTTGCATTCAATAGTTTATACGAAAAAAATATAAAAAAATAGTTTTCAAAGAATTGATAAATCGATTGACTCTTTCCACTCAATCCTCTTCTCTAGTCTTCAATCCTATTCTTCGCTGTATTTCTAAACCGATATTCATTTGGTTTGGAAATACAAAACCCAAACAGAAATACAATAAATGCTCGTAAAAAGATAGTCAATAGACTCGTCAAAAATGTTGTTTTTGTATCAATTCTTGTTTCAATTCTTCGCAATAATTATAAAATCCGGGAAAACAAATATAATAGTTATCATAATCTAATACTTCATATGGCATTCAATATATTGTCAGTTGTGTTCAGCGTTCACGTCCACTAAACTCCTGGTCCGCATTGAACGCGCCTTCAAATCAAAAA